GAAGAAGAAGAAGAAGAAGAAGAAGAAGAAGAAGAAGAAAAAGAAGCAACAACAACAACAACAACAACAACAACAACAACAACGACAACAACAACAACAACAACAACAACAACAACAACAACAACAACGACAACAATAACGGCAACGACAGCAACAACAACAACTAGTGCATCATTTTACAGCGCATATTCACGCTCTACATCATGCTATATTCGTTTTACAACTATTATTTTCCCAGAAGACCCAAGAGAACCGACCACCCAGAGGTCACTGACCTGTCCACAGCGATGATGACCAGGACACATCCTGAGGTGATGGCTGTACCCAGGGCGACATAGGACGTGAACACACAGGCTGCCATGAAGCTCGGGCAATAGGGGTGCAGGGTGATCGCGAGAAGCGTCGGCCAGGCCAGGAACAAGTTGCACAGATCCAACACCGCAAGCATCTGAGGATATGTGAGGGAGGCATCGTGGTGAAATCAGGTGCTCTCCAAAACAATGAAATCAAAGAAAGGTTCAGCAATGTTTTGATCGAATTTGAGTTGCTTCACTCAACACCTCGGCACCTTTGTGCTTTCTTGTCGTATCTCCATCTGTTAACAGTGAAAACGTGACGACTTCTTAAGCTCATTCCTTGTTATGAACTGTTTGCAGTGTTATTAAAAATAGAGATTCGACAAGAAGGCACTGAGGTCACGACCTATTGTGTCCATTTATAGTCTAATTTCTGAGTGGATTTTTACCGAAACACATTGATTAACAGAACAAAAAAGGACACTCAAGCTACGGAAATCACCAAACTTTGATGATCATTTTATCAATAAATTTACTCTGAAACCAGGCGACTTTCAACTGCATTTCTTCATCGAAAGCAAGGCAAATGAACAAACTTTAAGACGACACCATGCACACAAAATATGACGAGCACCTGATTCCACCGCGTCTGGACACAATTGAAGTCTGCAGTTTTAATGTATGCTTCCCGGGAAGCCGAGAATGCCCTTGGGTATTCTAGGGTCTGCTGGGTAATAATTTAGAATGTAAACTTCAAAGACTTTGCACATACAAATGCTATTCATTATTATTATATCATCATCATCAGCAGCAGCAGGCAACAGCATCAGCATTATATTATTATTATTAAAGAGAGGGAGAGAGGGAGGGAGTCTTAGAACAAAAACGAACTTTACTTTCCTAATATTAATGTACTGATTGCTAATCCAATGTCCTGAGGGAGAAATTATTTAAGCTCATGTTCACAAATACCTCATTTTGTGTTTGGGGGGGGGGAGGGGGGGTGTCGCTTATTGACAAAAGTGGAGAATAAACGGAACGACGAGAAAATGAACCATCTGCTGTAATCGAAAACTC